TGAAAAGGTTTGCTTCTGCCCCACCCACCTGATAGGATTTTTGAAATAATTCTTTACTGATATACTGAAACTATCCTCATTCTACTGGCCTTCCAATTACTCTCTACTGACGAAATTCTTCATAGAGTACCCACTCCAGTATTTGTCACTCCTCTCTCCTCACATCTTGTTAGGAATACCGAGATCCGATACCTAGGAACCACCCTAGGTAGGGTAACCTCTCCTGAAATCGAAATCTCAGGTCTCCAACACCCCCCTCCGGCCCCCTCACGGGGCCCGCGTGTCATCATACATATCGATCTAAGTTGCATCCTGTAAGTATTATACCACAGAATCGAAGGTGTTAAAATAACACCGTATATGTCGCCGCCGTCAGTCCGACCGGATCCTGTTCGCAGGATATATAAGAGGGGACCTTCGGCTAGGTCTGAGAAGTATAACAGAGTGAATCCGTCAACTACCCAGAAAGTTACTAGGCTTCAAGAACGAGATATCTTTGGCATAGGCCACAAGTAACGGGACCTTTTCGCGCAAAGAGATGATGATGAATAGTAAAGGATCTTAATGAAAGACCAATACATTCACATCCACCCTACGATAACCAGAAGAGTCTGGAACTCCTGAGAATACTACCATCGAACCCAATGGAGTTCGAGGAGTGTTACAACCAGGTTCCGGTACATACTACAACCGAGGGGGTAACTCCCAAACTGGTGACAGTAAACAGAATCCTGTTACCCATGGCAACCAAGGATTACCGACCGAGGGATTATCTACCAACCCTATGGAAAGGCTTTCTGCAGGTAAGTAGGAAGTCCTCCGGAAAAGATCTATCGGTTGGGTATGGAGTTATGAAGAGTTGAAGTTAGATGACCTAGAAAGTCAGTAATAACAACTATCTTCGCAGATGCAACCTGCAGACGAAACTGATCATTTCATCGACAAGGGAGACGATTGGAGCCAACACAGTTCGACTTGAGAATTAGGCCATTTGTCTAAAAAGACTCTCACCATCGGATAATTACTATTGGAAACAGCATGACTTCCAAATAGTCATATTATAATTATCAAAGAGGGTGTGATGATTTTCAGGGTCTCCAGGTGTTCGCACCTTGGAAGAAAACCCGACGTTGCAAGTTATATTGGAAAAAGGTACATGATTGTATGTTAGTTAGATGTAGTCCACAAACACTCAGACGCGGAATATAAATATCGAAGTGCCTCCCAAGCTTTAGACATCATCAAGCAACGGAGAAGAGACCTTAACAATATAATATTGTTCTTACGATTTTACTTTACTTTACTTTACTTTACTTCGCTCTTAGTAGTCATAAACGAAACGAGTGAAGTCTGAGCCTTCCTAGACAATCTCTGTCTATAAAAACGAATTTCGATCGGCCTAGACAACTCTGAAGTCTATCGGGTTGTCTCCGCCTAACACATCTGCATACTATCTTTCCTTCTCATCCTTTCTCCAACAAGAGAGATTGCCAACCAGTATTTTGAAGTGGTATGCTACTTCATTCTGTATTGGCTCACAGGTTCTACTTGGGCCACAAGGTATTTGTATTCTATACTACCAAGATAATACATAAAGCTTATTGCTAATGGTATAAGATCAATGTGTAGTCAAAAAACCCTTTAAGTTAGCACCTTTTTGCAGTATCTTGGTAAGGGGTTTTCACTTTAGTTCTCTCTTCTTCTTTACCCTAGCATAAAATCTATCTGTTGGAAGCTGTAGAAGTATTAACTGTACCTTTATTCATCTACATATCTTTTTATTTTGTTTCAAAGGCATTTGTTACTATCTCAATTGGAAATAGTTCTCGTTTCAGTAGTAATGAATAGGATAAAGTAGTCAAATAGAGTTTAAGTAAATGTTCATAGAAATTGTGTATAGTAGGTACATGATAAAGACTTTAAAAGCTTCTCATTCACATGGAGTGTGACTACAAACCTACAAACAGTCATTCTTCATTTGTTTACTTTACAGCTTACAGTTCAGTTTGCCTTTGAGTCAACCAATATTGCTTAATTTGAAATTGCTAAATTTACATCTCAGACATCTTTCCGTGCCATATTCACTGACTCACCCTAAATCAACCTCATATCATAGCACACGACTCGATTATTTGAGTTTTTACGGTAAGCCTTATCACCCCCAGAGTTGCGGGAAGCTACCACCCCAACTCCAGGTGTAATAAGCTCTCTTCTAAGCAGAATTATTATGATATCATACCAGTAGTATGCACACAAGTGCTTTGGCAGCAAACGTTCGAGATACCATCGATTGCAAGGGTTGGTTCTGTCTGCTGCCAATACACTGCGGTTCACAGTTCAGCACCACAAACCTCTCTACCATACCAAGACATTTGCTTAATAACACTTAAATAAGCATAGGTGGGCAATAAAAATCATGAAAAAAACAAATAAAGAAAGAATTCAAAGCAGAATATTCAACCAAGAACATCTATTACAGTATTCTTGATCATTTCTCACACCTCTAACTCAATTATTAGGGCAGGCGCTGTTAATGTTTGAGGTCAAAACATCGTTCATGTTAACTTTGGCAAGTTTTGCATGTCTCATCGGCCAAGGGCTTCGACCCTTGGCATTTTCACGGCCCCATTTTTACTTCACTTTACCAAAGCCATAACTGTACTGTACTGTACGGGTACCTGTAGGTTAAGCGGGGAAAATATCAATGCACCAAAATTAACCAGTGCGATGGTAGGAAATTAAAAACACAAGAAATTAAACCAGCCCAGATCCATTTTTAGTATTTTTATTTTTATTTTTTACAAATATTTCCAGGAGGAGGAAAAACCATTATGATAAAACGCCATCGATGGAGGGACGGGGTCAGCTGGCAGGATACCCATCGCCATCGATATACTGGTATACTTGGACCCTGCCCACACCAAGACATCGTCTTCACAATGGCAAAAAAAACAAGCGAATGATATGATACCACGGAAAACAGCCGGAGAAAATATATATAAAAGTATGGTGCAATAAATAATGTCAAGCCTTCTCCTTATTTTTTTTTTTCCTTCTTGTTTTCAGCTCCAATTATTGAGGCTGATGGTATGATGATCTTTGGAGGTGGGTTATTTTTGATGTGGTTCCCGATTAGGAATGGTGATATCCCTAAAGTCACTAGTTTCTATCAGTTTTTTTTTTTTGCTCTTGGCACTGGACACAAAAAAAATCTATGAATAGCAATTAAAATAGAGCGGTAGTCACGCTTTTTTGGTCAGAAAAGACTGCTGAAAAGTAATATTTGTGAATGCAAAAAAATGCCCTGCTCAAGGTTTTCCATTACTTTTTTCACCATTTCATAACTATTTACCAGAGCAAGGTGGCCATGGGTAGAAGAAACTTCAAGAAAGTGCCTTCAACAGAGAATGTGTCTTGGTGTGTGTGGGGTCAAAGTTTGTATCGATGGCAGGAGCCGGTATTCCGCCAGTTGATCCCTGTCGCCGGTGGCATTCTACGAGTAATGGTTTCCTCTTCCAGGAGGGTTAAATAAATGAAGTCGCTGCTCGAGTATGGCGGTGGGGGAGAGAGGGATCGTAGTTTGCTGATTGTGCTAGGCTGTGGTATGCTGCGGCAGTTGGAGTTGGCGGTTTTACCCCGACAATTGATGGTATTTGTCCTCAACAAGCGCTCGGAATCAGGGACCAAAGAAATATACTTGTGTGGTAAAAGGATCCGTGAGTATTTGAGCCCCGGTACTAGTACAGCATACAGTGTGCCCCTCTGCTATCCAGCATATCGTTCCTGGGATAGGTATTCAAAACGTTTTCTCGTGGAAACCGATTGTGATGGCAGGACCGGTGGGGTCGATCATACAGAGCGGTTCAACAAGAATACCGGTATGTACCAGAAACCATACATCGCCAGTACTGCACCCCACCGATATGAGGCCCACAGTCAATTACAGCGGCATCCGCCGGAACGAATCCACAACCCCAAGGCTTCAAAAAAGCCCAACTCTTGGCGGACGTGAGGATGAAGGAGAAAACCTAACTTAGACCGCTTCGGTTACTTTGTCGTCAGTAGCTAGACTAGCAGCTGAAACCGCCGACACAAGGCAAAAGTTAAGTCTCCAATTATGATACCAAGAGCAGACGAAACTTCAACGCGATATTGATGTCATTAGCATCACAATATAGCTCTGCTCTCCCACGACTCCACGAAACCGGGACGTGAATCCAGTCCGGAACTTACATAACAATGCGATATCGGACGGTAGTTAAGAGAGCAAAGTTGAGTTACAATATCATACCGATAGCAGACGTCGAGTTGTTCAATTAATTATGATACACTTCAAAATTCCAGCACCTCCAGGACTCGAGGAATACCGCACGGAACGGTATGATTAGTAGACGTGTCGGAAGCTATGCGGAATTTCCCTCACAGGAGTTCATTATTGGCCATGTTCAATGCATGCACCGCAAGGACCATAAATAATCGCAAAACACAAGCCAAAACAAACTGTTTGTTTGGAAGATCCCGAACACAAAATATTCGCGCCCGGGGGAAGGGCAATTCTCTCTCCCTTCTCCATGCACAAACAAAACATGAGAATTGCTTCGTGGTAATGATCCCCTGTGAATATTTTCCGGGTCGGACATGTTAGAGTGCAGGCCGTAGTGGTGGTCTTATGTCAAGCCAGGGGAAGAGAGGCAAAGAGAATATCTTATGTTGGCAATAATATCCAAGTGGTCATAAGGCACCATAAGCAAAATCCTAGCCAACCAACCCCACAGGTGTACACTACAGTATAGAAGCGCAAAAAACCTGCATGTAAACCAAACCTAGACGCGAATGATTTCCCTCCGAAAAAATAGATGTTAAACTCTGGTTTTTTTCTTCTTTTCTTCCGTTCACTTCCACTCCTTACCCTTACCCTTATTTACTTACCTACCCTTCGGGGGTCGTTGCGATCTGATCAGGCCTCTGTCATTTGTAAATCACGCTGGGGTTACCGGAAACGGGCAGCCGAGGAGTGGGATGGTGGGTTTGTGCTATGATAGCTAAACACGCCATTCGCAGCCTGGTTCGATTTTATTCCGAGAAAAGCCTCAGGCATACGGGTTAATGTTGAAGGGGGGGGGTTCTACTCGTACACTAGGCTACAGGACTGTAGTTGTACGGGAAGATACATGATTTGTTATTTCTCTCCTCCCTTCTTCATGGTTGAGCGGTTGTAGCTTCCGTGACTTAAGCACACAGTGGGGGGAATAGGGGAAATAATCATTACCGGCATGCCGGATGTTTGATTCAACTCCGTGGGCCCGGGAACTTCATTGCAGTGATACAGCGGGGAATGCGCCATTCCTGAAATGTACTGGAGGGCATGAAGGGAAGGGGGGGAATGAGCTGTCGGGGGCTTGGGAGGGAAGAATTGGCTGTGGAAAATGCAGGTTCAGAGACAGATATTGTTTTTTGGTCTCGTTGGATGGGCCATAGGCCATGGGGGCATGCTTGCTTTAATAGCTATTCTGCAGAAAATGCGCAGTGGGGTCAGGACCCCTCTTACCTCGCTATCCCTCGCCGGTTCCGGGTTATTATCGGCGTTCCTGACACTCACGGGTTAATTACCTCGAATAACTCGTGGTATTCCGTCGAGAGAACGCGAGAGCCGAAGAGGGAAGGAAGGATGAAAGGAAAAAAAAATGGAGGACACAGCTGGAGAGGGCGGTGCTTTCCCTCTCACTGTGTAATCCACAGACATCAGTACAGCGCTCCTTGGATTAGTACAGATACCGGTAGGGTACGATGTGATAACCCCACCTCTTGTATGGGCTGTACGAACGGTCTTTGTCTCGTTGAAACAACAAGGATAGTGTAAGGTAGGTTATACCTTCGGTCAGTCAGGTGCGCACACGAAAATGAGCACAAAAGGCACATGGGACTAGCGAGGCTTGCTTTGCCTCCCTGCTTGACCATGATCCTCCCACCATTACTCTCTCATTTTACCACAGTGTTGTGGGTCTCCTCTGAACCTGTTCGCTCCCGCTCGCCATCTTCCAGTTCATGTCCGAATCTCACCCTTTCTTTATTTTTTCCCCAGGGCTAAAAAATCGCGGTGACTTTGCCTGGGCGGGTTGCTACCGAGGGGAATTCCCTTCTCGCCTTGGTGGTTTGTTCCAGAGCTAGCTTCAGCTTGATGGAGGAATTGTACAAGTAGCAACTATTGACTGAAAGGGGAAATCCCAGTGAGTTTTTGGAATCAGAGTGAGTCTTGGAGCCTCAAAATTGACGCTAATCCTACCATTCGTGGCGGGCGTAGGGCTCAGTGATTGGGCGGGGTTGCCCTCACTAAGCTACTTTTAGGTGTAACTTATGAAGGTATGGGTATGATATCTTAGCTCTGGCTTGGGACGGGGTTAAGGTGGGGGGGAGGCTTTTGATCGAGCATGGTAATATTATGGAATAGGCATTGAAAAGCAATCGGGGGTGTGAACACGGTACCTAGTACGAGTAAAGTAGGAGTACAAATCGAAAGGGGTGTATGGAGGGGCATATTGGCGGGGGCTCTCGCATGAATATCATACGCCCAGAGACCGTAGTTATGTTGGGTTGTATCATACCGGCAGGAGAACTCGAGTTATGATACCCCATCATACCACACAAATACCCGTATTATATCCTTTTTTCTGGCATTTGTATAGCACGGTACTTGAGTAGGGCAACTCATCTTTAACTGTATCGGTAATTGTCTCTAATACCGGTACCGTAGGTGTAATAACTCTGCGCCCCGCCTTGACTCCCCCCTCTCCCCGTGTCACTCGATACCAGTCACGGCTCCCTTTTACTCATTCCGCTCACTTCTCTCCCCACCACAACCACCAAACTTTCACCCCTCCGTTTCTTCTGCCTCGCCTGCACACAAGACCTCCACCGCGGCCTGTTTTCGTGCCCTGTGGACTCACAATAAACGAAACGGAAAGAGATAGGGGATATCAAATTTGGCCGAACTGAGCCGCTCGTTGTCGCCGCCTGCTGACCCTTGTGTTTCGAACCGCAACTTGTACGCTTGCCCTTTCCTTCCTAAATCCCCCCCCTCCCCCAAGAGCTTTAGCGGCAAACTCAGTTGCGTAGCATACAATATAATAGAATCAGAGCAGTAACTTACCTTTAACCAGCCCAAAATCTCCTGAAACACACAGTATTATTCATTGCCAGTTGTCGGCGTGTGGGTCTTCTAGATTTTGGCTGCTCCTCGTTCGCTCCTAATATTATTCAACCACCAACAGTCCGAGCAAGGCGTGCGTCACCACCGCGACTTCAACCCATACAGCAGACCTTTCTCCTCTTTCTCACCTCAACCCACACCCGTACCTTCATCCCACTACGATCGAATCCAAGAAAATCGACAGGCTGTACGAACCTACCAGCTCCCGACAAGGAATCCCCCCCTTCTTCAAGATAGCCGTGGAGGGATTCTACGATAGAACATCATAACAATGCTGAGAGGTATGTGCCATTTTTACCCCTCCCATCAACGTGAACCCCCCCTTCAAATATCACCCCGCTTTATAATAGCTATAGCAGCCTTGCTCCACTACCTTCCCACATTTCTCCTCTTCTTCTCTCTTACCTTCCCCTCCCTTCCCCCTCCTTCCCCTGCCGAGATCTCCCTCCCATTTGAAAGTTCCACCACTACCCAAGCGATACTTCCTTTGAATTATTTACAAAGTGACTTCGCATTCCCGATCATTGTAATGCTGACCGGAATAGCAGCCAGGCTCCACCTTCACCCTCACCCCCCCCCAAACTCTCAAAACAAATCACCCACGTCTCTACCATGCTCATATCCTGTTTTGCACACCGTCTCTACCAGCAGCACTGATGGAGCTTCCCGTACAATCAGCCTCACACCCGAGGAGCCAACCCAACCGATCGGTAGGAGTAGCAGAAATAAATCCAAGGGATTGTTTGCCGCTAGGAATAATGGTTTTTTCGAGTCAGCCGTTATGAGTCGTTCGCATGCGGAGGTTCGGCTGCTCGTGCCGTCCCGAAAGGTGAGCCGCGATTACTGAGTTACTTTATTCTTACTCTTTCTTCCGCGAATGTTCTGTATGGTTATTTTAGAGGATCCGAACTTTTATGTGTATCGTATCCCATCCCAGATGGTGGAGCTTTCTTGGTTTTCCCTTTCTTGCCCTTGAGCTTACGTACATATTTGTACGCTTTCGGTTCTTTTTGCTCATATTATCCCCCCACTTCTGAACACCTCTTTATTAGCTCCTCCCGTTTTGTCATTCCGTTGTCCATTGCGTTTTAATTACCACCACTAGTTTCCACGCTTTTAAATTCTTTCCTCGTCCCACTTTTTCCTCCATGCTAACAACTATTTTACAACCTGTGCAGATAGTTATTAAGGACATGAAATCGATGCACGGCACCTACGTTAATGGCCTTCAGCTTGCCGGAGATGAAACTGCAGAGTTGACGGATGGGACAGAGGTTACGTTTGGCTCAGAGGTCACCAGAGGTGACGAAATTTTCCCTCCGAAAACATTCCGGTGCGGGGTTGAGTGGGAAGAAATACCGTGAGTTTTTTTCTTCTCTTTTCCTTAATATTTTTCCTCCCTGGGCTCTTTTACTGTTGTTTCTACGCTCGGATTTACTAACATTGCGTGTTTTTTTTTATAGCCTCCCGAAACCTGTGGCCGAACCCGAACCGGCAGCCGAAACGCCCAAGAGTCGGGGCGGTTACGGCATATGCGAGGATCTTTTGATATCAGACTACGAAGTTTCTGAAGAAGAGGGAGAGGAAGAGGAGGGGGATGACGAATTAGACCCGAAGTTTCATCGCTTGGAAGAAGAGAAAACTTCGGGATCCGGGGTTTCTTCTACTCCTGGCACTAACTCTGCTGCTCCTGGGCCAGGACAAACTACCTTTGTTGGGGCATCGACGTCATATATGATACCCGATGATGAGCTCCCCATTAGTCATGAACGCAGCACGAAGGATATGTCGGTCGAATCATTGACCCAATCGAAGGACCGTGTGCTGCAACTGAAGAGAAAAATTGATGAGATGACCGGCTCGGGAGAGAGAGATGTGGTTGAGGTCAATGCCGAACTGGTAGATATCGAGATCTGCGATGTGCCTGCTCGGCCCGGGGTCACCATCGGAAGCTTGATGAACCAGGCTCAGGAATCCTCCGTCTCTCGGAATGATAAGAGTAAGGACGTTACGAACGAATCGGGGGGTTCGAATATGCCTGAATGTCTTGTGATCGATGACGAGGAAAGTGATCTCGAAATTATCCCGGAAGAAGCCTTCAAGCGTTACCATCACACCTCTAGAACGCGGGAGCATGCTCAGAACGATGAAATTGAGAATTCGGACATGGACGAGTCGGACGATGAGGATACCAGCTGTCGTGCTCGTGTTCGTAGTCGTCGGTTCAATTATGTATCGTCTGATGAGTCTGAGAATGAGGACGAGGACGAGGACGACGAGGAGGATGACGAGGATTTAGAGGAGGAAGAGCAAGATGGGGAAGATGGGGGCCAGCACGAGAACGCTGTAGGGGAACACACCGGGAAGGCTTCCACGGCAAACGATACTGTGGATGTCACTATGGTAGCTGATAATCTCTATTCGCCGAATGCCCCAACGCCAGTGCCCCCCCCGGAGGTCCTGAGCTCAAAACCCCAAGTTGTGGCTGCACCTTTGGGTGGTATTCCCCAATCTAAGACGAATTTTGCACCATTTGAGGAGCTAGCAAACGCGGCAGTGGCTGCACAAAACGGGAGTGATTCTTCTAACAACCCCAGGGGAAATGTAGCCGCATCAGCGACTATTCCAGAACCTCCCACCCTTCCGCCCCTCACTATGCTACCAACCGAGGCGGTGGCCAAGAAGACACCATCCGGTGCTTCTCATATTCATTGGTTCGCGGAAGATCCACATACGACAACTGATAGCTTCCAAAAGCGATATAACAACAGTTCTATGGAACAGAAGAAGGAATATTTTACTGCTAGACAGATAAACCTTGCGAATTTAGCTAATAGGCCTAATGATGTGTTATCTTATTTGAGTCCGGTTCGCGGGAACTCTAAATCACCTAGTGTGTCACAACCACTGCCCCCGGCTTCATTGCCCTGGGTTCAGACCTTCAAGACAGCTGAGGGGCCTAAAGAGCCGACTGGGTTGTTCCCTAAGGTCTGGGAAGATCGGCAGCAAGATTCACAAGCCCCAGCAAACAAGAGCGATAAGCCGCCTGCGCCGTCTCCACCCCCGCCAACAGTTACTCCTCAAGCCAAGAGGCTACTTGAGGATGCTGTGGCTGAGGGCGAAAAGTTTAGAGGACTTGATAAGAGCACATGGTGGTTGGGCGATGAGGCAGAGATCTCAATCGACGAAACAAGTGAAATGGTCTGGGATGATGAATATTGCAACGATGAGGATGGGGAATATGACGAAGAAGACGAGGAAGAGGATGAAGAGGAAAACGGAAATACACCCGATGACATCCCTGAACAAGAGATGACTGATGGGATAGTAGATTATGAGGAAGAGGATGAGGAAGAGGGTGAGGGTGATGTGATGGAGGAGGAGGATGATACTGACTCTCGTCATCCTACATGCACTTGGTTCGGCCAACGTAAGGCTTTCAACACGGGGTATGAGCGTTTCCCTGTTCATCATCCCAATGTCGCACCGGTTGGGCGAACCAGTGCCTGTGAGGCGGGCAGAGGTGACTTTAGTAAATCACGCGGCTTCTCTATCAGTAATCTTGTTCACGAAAACAATGGCCCTCTCACGCCTCCTGGGCCCTTGATGGTAGCAACTGGTACTTTCTATCCTCCGCCCCCTCAACAATTTAGCCGATATAGATACCAGGTTGACGCGTTTTATGGGATAGCATCATCACCGCCGCCTGGCCCATCTGCAAATGGCCTGATCAGCCCTCCCTCTACTGAGACCAAGAAGGAAAAGTCCGTAGCCGATCTTCTCAATCCCTCTTCTCCATCTACCGGATCTAAGCGCAAGCACTCTTTGCTTTCTGATATCACTCCCGAAGAGAAATCTCAAGAGGAGGAGGAAGTCGCTCATGAGAGCCCCGAAAACATGGATGAGACGGATGACGATGTTGAGGAAGAGGATAAAATGGATAGCATGACTAAGGTTTCCACCCAAGAGTTGGCCATGCTCTTCCCGGGAAAGAATGTTCAAGCCCTCGAAGAGGAAATGGAGACAATCACTTTGGAACCCGCCCTACCAACGCCTGATGGAACATCTGACGAGGAGGAGGCTATTCAAGCTGGGGAAGAAGAGGAGCGTCCAAGGAAACGGGCCAGAACTACGAGGCCAAAGAAGCAGTTTGCAAAGCTCGCCGCTACCGCCCTTGCTGGAGCAATTGTCGGGGGTGTCGGTGTGTTTGCAGCGTTGGTTGCTAGCGCCCCCTAATTTTAGATGTGGTGTCCCGATGACTCTTTCCATTCGTGATCTCTTTCTCTATTAAGGCGATGGTGATTTTCCTTTGTCACATCACTTCCTCTTCAAACTCGGGGTGGCACAATTGCTTGTTTTTCTGTTTTGGTTCTCTGTTTACTGTTGCGAGAAGTCTTTGAATACGACCTTTATCGCCTTACATCACGTTATGAGGATCTCGCTCCTCGACTTTCCCGCGTTTCCTTTTGTCGTTCATGTTTCATGCCCACAGGCTGTATCTTCCTTGTTCACGGTGGTCGAGGGTGGGGATTAGCTAGTTGGTATCGGCACGGTCAGGTGTATCTTTGTCTTTTTGTATCCTATTCGACCCATCATCGCCTTACTCTCTAAAGCAAATACTCACACACAAAGACACATACTTTCACGGGATTATCTATCCGGAGCGCTGTGGGCTGGATCAGGGTTGGTCGGTGGGCTGGGGTGTCTATGCTTTTGTCAATTTTCCTTGGTATCTTTCTCTTCCTCCCAAATGGCGTGTAAATGAAAAACGTGTAAGGGAAATCAATTATTGGTCTGGGGAGAAGGGGGATTTGGCTTTCATTTTGATTTTCCTTGGTTTTTCATTTTTCCTTCTTTCCTCCGAAATGTGGGCGATTAACATACGATATTACTGTCTGCTCTAACTTAGTTTACTATGGCCCTCATTTCATTTGTTTCGTATCGTATCGTTTCGTCTTATCTTATTTTATAGTGGGACTGGTTCGGCACAATTTACAAGAATTGAAAATCGCTTATGGTGACTGTTTTTATTTTTTGGTAAGTTGTGGGATGGTCGGTTGGTTGTGGTGGATTGGGGGAGAATGGGTGATTGGTCGTGACCTGTGTGTTTGCATGAGTATTTATTAGGTTAACTTACTCTTGTACTGTATGGTACAGGCAATGGAGGTTACATAAAACAACATAATTGCTTACCCGGTGGAATGGGTGTCGTACAGTATGTTTCGCCACGGGGTTCTAGCGGTCCTATTGAGAAGGGGGGAGGGAGAGATTGTGTGTGCGCGTCGGGATCCATGATAATATAGTACGAGCGCACTGTGGGGGACTCCTGAGTGGATAGTGCAGGCAGTGGTCGCCCGAGCTTGTACTGCACTTGCGTTGAGCATCCACTGGTAGATGGGGTGTGAAAAGGTAGGGGCTGGATGAAGTCAATCGAGTGATAACTTGTGCAGACTCTTAGGAATGGGTGGTTGTCGGCGGTCTTGCTTTGATTGTGGGGTTGGTGGGATGCATACCAGCAGTCGTTGGGCTCAGAATGTTCTTTGAATGGGGAAGGGAGAGGCTTATTGGGGGGGGGGGTATCATATCTGTGTGGTTTTTCTTCTTGTTTCATATCCTTCCGCTTGTTTTTACATCCTTTGTGAACGAAGCGAAGTGATATTTAATATTATAATAGATTTTACTCCAAATTTCTCCTAAAACCGGCGGGGGCTCTGCGGCTTTCTGCGTCTTGCCAAGGCTACTTCCCAATGGAAATCTTTTTTTTCCATCAGAATAGTACCGTAAAAACTGGAATAATCGGACCTCACGCTAGGACGTCCAGAATTTCCTCTTGTAGATTAGGGGGAGAAAAATACAGTGAAAAACTGTCGTTCAGCCCTCGGCTGGGACAAATAAACAGAAAAATGCTGGTGACCATACTAGGAGGGGCAACTCCAACGTCCCAGCGTGAGGTCCGATTATTCCAGTTCTTATATTAGAATAATATAACATTCTATCATGTTCAAACCTTATCGCTTTGGATTTTTATCGGTGCTGCACTGTACATGCTGAGAAGGGGTTTAACGTTATAATAAATATAATAATGTGATATGATAGGACGAGCAAGCTCTTGGTACGAACTTAGGCGTTGGCTCCTCAGCTCGAATTCACCCTTCCTCCCCCCACCCCCGGCCATTCCCAAAATATTGTAAGTCTGAAGAGAGAGAAAGGCCTGGGGATGCAGAAGCTTTTGCGCCGTTGGTGATGGTGGGTGGTAAATTTTTTTTTTTTTTTGAAAATGATTTCTTGGGATGGTGATCCCTTGGTATAACTCATAGGAGTCAATCTTTGTCCCTAATGAATTCGCTGTTTAGAGAGAGGGTTCTTGAGAATATCTTATTTTCGACCTCTCTTTACACAACATTACGCAATTCGTGGGGGAGGGATATGATACACGATATTAAGTAAGCAGACACCATCTGGGGGGCCTAAACACTGCATAGTCTATAGAGTGCACACCGTTTCGGAGATGGGTGAGTGAGGTGCAGAACTACCAATAACCGCTGGCATCCTCGACATGCGCACTCTGAGCACGACCTGCTTGGAATAATCTTCCAGTGTTGTACTAGGCATTCAGCGCGTATTTCATAATATCATAGTCTACTCAGTGAGGAATTGACTCTTGATACTTCCCGAATCGCTATGCAGGGTCCATCCTGTAGAGCGGTGACGCTTCAAGCACGAACAGATCTTCCTTCGTATTAAACAACAACTTGTCAGACTCACCATGTAGTTCATCGAGTTGAAGTGTTTCGGATACGAATTGAGATTTTGTTCTTGCGGATAGGCAAGCCCAGATAATACAAAAAAAGAGTCCTTTGATCATTGGCCCCACTGATACTATCGTGCCCCTGTGACCGAATACCCTTGTTCACCAGCTAAACTTCTAATAGTGTCATGTATGTTGTGGGAAGAGACCGCGGATATGTATCTTGACTTTTCTTTTGGGTGTGTGTGGAGGAAACAGGCCAACAGCAAGAATCCTCAAAATACTCACACCACCGAGCCCAATGCTACTTGGAACCACCTTCTGGTGATATCGCGTCGTGGATATCAGTGGCGCCGCACACCTTTCAGTCTCCCCTGACTGAGTATCTGAGCACCCCGACGTGCCGCTGTCGATATGGGCCCAATATGTCATGGTGGGGGATTGCTCGTGTAACACGCGACGAGCTGCTTGGAGTCAGGGGCAGTGCTCTGAGAGAGGTTATGAGTCGCAACTGGTAGCACACATTTTTTTGTGCTTATCTGCGTACCCGTACATGGGGGTACTCTAGGTAATTGATATACTACTCCTTTAAAAAGATACTTTTCTCTACGTATCATACCACCCCAGAATCCAAAGACAAAAAAGGGTAACTCAGATCGGTTCTGATAGCATGGCGGCCAAGGAGCTGATCGATACAGCGTGAGCAGAAGGCGTTGCTAGCAATGAATTTGTTAGAGCTAAGCTTGAGCATTTCGAGTTACCCTATTTTTTTGCGCATTCGAATTGGTATGTAGGGAGATATGAAGGGACTAACCAAAGGAGCTAAGGTGGAAACTGAATGTGTTTTGTAGTGGCGGGTGAAATATTATTTCTTATGCATGTGTCTTGATATTTGGAAGGCATTCCCTACCCAGGCAGGTTCTTTGTCAGGTTCTTTGTACTGCTCTACTGGTATCCTAAAATTGATTCGAACCAGTGAGAAACTTTGATATCTGACTAACACTTTTTATATTATCCCAAAATCAAGAACTCTATTTGGGTAATTAGGTTTATTCATCCACAAAGAACTATTTTTTCTCTATCCTGAACAAGCAGCTCTCAGCATTTTACCTAAAGAAGCAGCTCTCGGCATATTGCCTAAATAGGCAGCTCTCGGCAGCTCTCGGCAGCTCTCGGCATCCTATCATACCTGTTTCTATAAAAGATTGACAGTGGCTACCACTTCTTCTACAATTCTCACAGCCAACACTCCTACCACCACCACCTTTTACACTCCCATCTGTCTTATACCTCATACCAGCAGACCAGATCCCATACCTCCTTATACAACCTACAAGTTATACAACTTTTCACCTCCTACAACAATGGGAAATATCATTTGGATCAATGAAACTGAAACATTCCTCATTCAGGCACTTCTGGAGCAAGTTCGCAATAGAGGGAGAGGGGAGAATGGATTTGACAAGTCTGTCTGGACCACAATTGCCAGCCAATTGAATGCAAAATTTTCCAACATTCTCATAAAGCCAATTACAGACGTTCAGGCAAGGTCAAAGAAATCAGAAGTAAGTAATATCAACCCAGAGGTCAGTAGAAGGTAAGGACTAACAGATTATAAAGTTGAGGAAAGAGTTTGAAATTGTGCAAGCAATTAGACAGAGTCCTGGGTTTAAATGGGATAGCAGAAAGGGTATTCCCATAGCAACAGATGAAGTTTGGAATTCATATCTCAAGGTAAGTGGACTTGTATACTGTTTTGTTTTTATAAACTATCAAGTACTAATATTAAGTTTGTGGTAAAATAACATAGGTTCACAAGGAAGCAGCAAAGTATCGTACAAAGGCATTTCCAAGATATGACGACTTAGCTGAGTTGTTTACTGAAAGTCAAGCAACTGGGCGTTCTTCTGTGGCAGGAGGACTGCAAGATTCAAGTTCTCAGTTGGAGGAAAGTTCAGCAACTCCTAATTCAACTAAACAAAGAATTATTAAAAGAGGACAGAAGCGGATTTGGTCAGATGCTACAGGTAAGGATGACTACAGTTTACCAGAATCAAGCATCAGAAGTGGGAAGAGAGTTCAAGTTGAGGTTTCTCAAGCAAAATTGACAGCTGTTCTGAGGGACTCAGTTAACGAGGCTATTTTAAACAGGACTCAAGGACCTGTGTCAAAGCATGAACTTGCAATCAGGATTTTGCAGAGTCAATATGAGGGAAAACTAAGTGATGATGAGTTGGTGAAGGCAGCAATGGTGCTTGAAAATCACAATAAGGCTTGTATATTTATAGGCTTTACTGCTGGGCTACTGAGAGATCATTGGCTGAGGAGAGAAATAGAGAGATCAAATTTCTTTTAGTGGGGGTGGTTAACAATGTACAATAAATTTGTTTCATATCATATTATGGTAGAAATAAATTTATTCTCTATGTACTCCGCTTAACAAACTTAATTGATATAATTATATCTTAGTCAAAACTGACATTATGTGAAGAGAAAAAAGCTGTTTAAATGAGAAAAAAGACATTTTTCTTGTGCACCAAACAATTCCTTGATCTCATTAACCCTTTTGCTGGATTGGGGCCTATAGCCCCCAAGTGAAGCCGAGACTTCCAGGTGTCTCAGAAAGTCTGGAGAGTAGTTTTGGTTACTTGTACTGTACGTTGCATAAAGAAAAGAATTAAGTTTTACAGTTTCTTTGTGGGTGGGGTAACGAGCGATAATTTCCTCCTCCTGCAAACTGGTTGAATATCATTATCACTTCTATTGCATCTTCGCCGGCTGTCACCTCACTTTTTTAAGTACCGCCGTACGTGCCTCATCGGAACTCGAGCAGGCCGAGCTGGTGGCCGGACCCGACCCGTGATGAACACTAGACGTTGCGAATTCGAAAACCGTTGAGTGGGCATAGACGGGATGTCTGTTCGGGGTAATTGGGGATTCATATTGTATAGTTGTGCAAGGATAGAAGGCGCAGTACTCGCAGGAAACTTTAATGAAGCGGGCTCGGGGGTGATTTCCCCTCAACTCAGGCCGATGGAGGAAAATCCTAATAACTAGAATACTTACTGATATCATTGGGGTACGGCATATACGGCGGAAAATTCCCTGCTGGGGAAAGAAAATACCCCCACCCAAGGTGGGGAGAGAGGAGGCAATTAGTTGTTCCCCACGACCCTGCCTGAACTTGGATTTGTTAGTGGTCACTAGGTATCACTTCAAACCAGCTATGGGTAGAACCGTACGGTGCTGTATCATACAGTGAAGTGAGCCCAAGTGGGGGAATGCCTTTCAACAAAATTTTATGCCATAGGCACATCTAACTTAGTCTCCCCCTAGCTGAAATCGACCACGCACAATATGTTTATAGAATACCTGACCGACTTCCCCCCGCTCGCAATTCCTCTTTGAGAACTTCTCGCAAACCAAGCTAACATTTGGAGAGCGGGTCCTCCAAGCGTGCGCAAACGGCTTCCTAGGCACGAAAATTTTGAAATTTTGATCAAATCTTCTTTCCCCCACCCGCGCCCCTGTTACAAATTCGAATACACGGAAAGCGGGGTGAGTTAGCTCGAACGGCTCAAGACTGGGGGGGTCGTCGACCAGTTCCATATTCCAACACTGAGGACTCGTCCCTTGATGCGAAAAAAAAGGGAGCATCGTGGGTTCCAATCACTTATCTGCAGAGACAGCACTTTAAGAGGGGGGGACTGGCGGTGCATGGGGAAGGGAAAAAACGAAAGAGGGGAAAAGGAAAAATCGAAGGTTGGATTATGTGAGTGATGGGTATCTATGACTGTGTACTTATTTACTCCTTGGGCAAAACGTGGCACGCCGAGGTGTGGTCTCTCTGTGGGGGATGTATCTTGGGTATTGCCCAGATGGAGGTAAGAAGGGTGCATTCCTTCGGGTGGATCTACGAGGCATGGAGATATCTTGGGCTTGGATTGGCTCGGCACTGGAGTGTGGGGGGTTTTCTCTAGGAGCTTTGTTTTTGGAATCGTGGGCTGAGGGGGGAGTGGTAATTGAGAATCTGGGTATTGCTACAGCTTTACCATGATATAATTATACAAACATCTAGTATCCATCAGACTTCACCACCCTTCATTTCTTCCTTCCCCCTCCTATGCTCCCTCCTCCTCCTCAACCGCCCCCTAGCCCTATCCCTAATCCCAACTTCTCCTACTTCTCGAACCTTTTTCTCCTCTTCTACACGTTCCCACCCGCGCTCAATCTTCTCTCTAACCCTTTGAACTTGCTCCTCCTCCGCCTGCTCCAACTCCCCAACTTCCGCTTCCCCCTGCCTAATCCTCTCCTGCCTAACCTTCTCCCCAACCCCTTCGTCCTTCTTCTTCCTAACCTCACGATGCAAACCTTTAAGCGTAAACCCAACAACCCCAGTGGTTGCAGCATTAGTCTTCAACACGCCGCCCGCAACGCCCCTTCCTAGCCCCTTCGCGAACCCCTTGGCCCCCTCCTCCTTCGCGCCGCGGTACGGCTGCGACACGATTCCAGTGACGCCATCGTAGACGCCTAGCGCGAACTCTTTGCCAGCGGCGCGAAGGCCAGAGTGGAAGCCCGTAATGCGGTATGGGCGCCGGACCTCGTCGCCGTAGAGACGCGGGGCGTTGTGGAAGCCTTGGGCCACAGCTAGGGAGACTTCCATTGGTGCTCGAGCGCCAGCGCGGGCAGCTTTGGAGAGGGCCTTGGAGGTGTTTTTGACGACTTCGAGGGGAACGGGGTCTTGTGGGGAGTTTGAACGGGAGCGGGAGCTGGAAGTACTGTCAGTTCTCCATGCGTTGGAATCGGTGGACCGACGTGGTTCTGTCTCGGGATTTGGCGGGGTGGGTCTGGTGGTGGAGCGGGAGCTGGGTTTACTCCCACTGCGCATCTCACCGACAATATCCAGGCCCTCCGAATCAAGGCGGCGGGCACCCTTGTACCAGATGTAAGGGACTGTCACCATTCCTTTAGCCACACAAGCGATGGAACTAACGAGCGCAGTTATGCCGCCGGTGAAGGGCTCACCGGGGCCATTGTAGTCGTTCCATTCTGTGTGGCGGATGCTGTGAAAGCCAAGTTAGTCAAGCCAACGAGTGAGAATTGGTGCAAAACTCACAGTCTCAAATCCTTCCACGTGAGCTTCCCACCCTGCACGAGCAACCAGGCAGCGAGCGCACTGAGCCTAACTGTCGTCCTCCGAATTCTCCAAACAGCAACCTTATATTCCAGAAACGAGCAGCGAATTCCCGGACCTCCACGCCCCCACTTCCCTTCCCCGGGCCCGCCCGGCCCGCCTTCACCCCAATCCTTTCCGGACTCACCGAGTCCCCGCTTCCCCTGCTCTAGCGCTACAACACCCTTGAAAAAACTCCTTACGGCGTTCTCGGCTCCGTTCCCATCGTCCTCGCGGATCTGCTTACTTATCTTCCCAGCGGCAAGCTGGCACTCCTCGCTCAGTAACTTCTCTATCCCATCCGCCAACTTCTCCGCCGTCAGCTCTTTATGCGGGACCGGCTCCGCGCCCGCGCCGGCATTCGCGACCATAGAGCCCCAGAACGCCTGATCGCCAAAGAACGGTACGATCATGGTCGGCCTCCCGTGGTATAGTCCAATAGCCGTGGTCCCTGCTCCGCCATGGTGCACCACCGCAGAGACCCTCGAGAATAGCCAGTCGTGTGGGGTATTATCCAGCATAAACAAGTTGTCGGGAACGTCCGATTCTTCGCCGCCGATTCCACCCCAGCCTTTTGAGACTAGGGCACGTACACCTGTGGACTTTACTGCTGTGAAGATGGTCTGTGTGAGTGTGTCGGGGTCGTCGACTACTATTGAGCCAAACCCTATGTAGACTGGTGGTGGTCCTGCGTCAAGGAAGTCGGCGAGTTCCTGAGGGGGTTTGAAGGAGGAGGCTAGGTCTAGGAATACGAAACCTGTGATATCGATGTGGTCGCCCCAGTCATAGGGCTTTGGAATCAACGCTGGCGACCTGGGCGATGTCAGTATACCCGAGAGTGAGAGAGTGCGAACGGGGAATGTATACCACATATATGTGAATGGGACCTTCAACCGACTGATCATCCCAGGAGCCCATAACGTCGCAACGGGCTCTAATCCCAAAGTCTTTTGTCGGAATTTATTCACCAAATCTCCCAATCCTTGCCAGGTCATCATGTCGATCATGGAGTAGGAGATCGCATTCGTATAGTCCTTTCCAAGATTACTGCTCTGAATCATAGCGAGTGGATGCGGCATAGTCTGCGTTGGTGAATATGGAAATGTAAACATCAGATGCAACGGAATCCCCAACTTTTCCGCACAGTGCACATGTGCGAATGATGGGGGATTCGCAATGATCGCGTCTGCAACGAACGGATAATCTTCCTCCTCATCATCACCATCACTGCCGAAACTTGAAATCTCCTCAACAGCAGAAGGAGCGACTTCAGCTCGTTCCCTCCCTCTATCCCCCCCTTCGTCCACACTCTTTCCTCGCGGCCCACTCTTCCGCTTACTCCTGTCATTCGGCTCGATACAAGCCCTCCAGAAGCCCTGGAACATGTCAAACATCTGCTCCCTCCGACGCACCAAATCTCCAGCTTTAATCGTCTCGACGCTCGGAACCAAACCCTACTCACACCATCAGTCCTCCTCTCTTCCAAAGCAGAACATATATGATAAGCACTTACAGGATTCTTAACCATAAAAGCCATCAACTCCGCCGGATCCCCGCCAACACTAAAGAAGTCCACCCCCTCCCCGCCAACAAACTCTCGAAACGCAGGATGCGTGGCGAGCCTCACCCTATGCCCGTACTTCTCCTTGAGCACCTTGGCAACGGCCACGAAGGGCTGCACGTCCCCGCGACTTCCAATTACCATAATGACGATATTCAATTTCGGCAGGGTGATCTCTTCAGATGCTACCTTATCCCCTTCTTCACCCGTGTCCCGCCCATGGCCGTCTTTTTTGTTGCTACTTAGCTTGGATAGCAGCGTAGATAACGGCCCGTCTTTCAGCTTGTTCACGGCAATGTGCACGCGCCCGTCGCTGGGGTGGACGAAAGCGTGGGTGTTGAATTCCTCATGCGAGATGTCGAGGTGGCTGAAGTGGGATTGCTGCGGGAGTGGAGGGCGGACAGTAGATGCTGGGGACCAGGTCTTTCGGAGGGATCCAGGGGCTCGAAGCCGCGGTCTCGGTAACGCATCTGGTGCCATGATTGTAGATATCATTGACAAACGACGGAAGATGAAGTGCTTTTATTCTTATCTCAAATACGAGTACCACTACCGTCAGCCATTCCCCCTTACTTCACATCCTCCTCCTAACTGGCCGTCGAATAGCCACTGCTCTACGAGTATTCCTGTTGTTGCCATGACGTCAGAACCTAAGGCTTAACCTTTCCAACGGGAAACTGAAAGGAATGACGAAAGTTGCCCCAGACGTCTTGGCGGGTGGTTGGCTTGATGGTTTATCCTACCGGTAGACTACTAGTACCACACCCCTTGCCTTGTTTTCGAATTATCGACTTGGAGGGGGGAGCCAAGGCCGATCGGGTAAGGTTAATAGTACTTATCCCACCATCCTAATAACAGTTTAGGCCATGGAGAAACTAGGAAATATATTAGTAAGAATAAGAATAGGCAAGAAAAGATTTGATTATTATTTGAACAAACCTACATGCTACCAGAGCCATGGATCCATATGATAGCAGTGAGGAGGAAGCTGTTTGGATTTTAGGGCAGAGTGCTGAGAGCACAGAGAATGATATGAATATCGAGCTTGCAGACCACGAAGATAAGTTGGAGACAGAAGAAGGAGGTGAGGAAGGAAGTGGAGTCCAAAGTGGGCACATGTGGCCTGAGGAGCATAGGACAGTTCTTCCAAACACTTCAAACAGTGTGATCCAAACATGAAGTTTGTTTCCACTTCCGCCCGTACCCCCATTTATCCCATATCAACATGCTTCTCCGGAGCATGTAAGAAGAGTATTTCTTCCTCCAGAGTTTAATAGTCGACCAGAATCCAACACCTTTGGGGCCAACTCAGATACCGGTCCAAACTCTACTGCTATTCCGTTTCCAGGAAGTTTTTTCAAACTCTTTTTTACCAATGATATCTTTTTCTTACTTGTAAGGAATACAAATTTATATGCTCAAGGTAAAGGAGTTGGGAATAAAGGACAAAGGCTATGGAAGGATATAAAGGTTTCGCATATTAAGATTTGGATTGGAATTTTGATATATATGGAAGTTCATAGTCCAAAGAGTGATAGTATGCAGAATTTCTGGCGTTGTAATGATCATGGACCTGTTCACCAGTAAGATTCCATTATAGTTGTCTTTGTAATTTGATTTTCTTTCTCTTTTCAAGGTATAAGGAACAGGAATTGCAGAATTGAACATACCACTTTGTTATCTTTAATGGGTTAGCAGTTTTTATGTATATTAATTGGTCAAATAGAATAACAACCTTCATGACCCTGTGAATGTTCGAACAAATTAAACGGTTCTTTCATATATCTGAACCCAATAGATCGCTTCCAAGATATCAGTGGTACTATAAACTACAGCCATTAGCAGACGAGTTACAGTACCGATTTCAGCAGTATCTGCTGCCAGCTACAGCTATTGCGGTAAATGAAATGATAATCTGATTTGTCGGAAGATCATTTTACACAATTGCGATCCCAGGCAAGCCAATCCCATTCGGCTACAAGGTTCTAGCTCTTGCAGAGAAAGGATACACCTTTAGCTTTATTTTCACTTCTCAAGTGGAATATTTTGCTGGTCAAAATGCAATCCATGGTTACCAGAATTCAATCAAACTAAGTCTGACCTCTCTTGCTTTCCTTAAGCTTTGCTTACAGCTACCGTATAGGAAGAATCAATTTACACTTTACTGTGATAACTATTTCTCTAACATTCTTCTTTTTCAGGTTCTACGTATCCATGGGATTAGTGCTTGTAGGACAACACATATCAATTCAGCTGAGTTTCTTAAAGTGCTTAAGATAGATAAGAAAAAGATTACACTGCTATGAGATATACTATCAACTGTTCAAGTTTGTGATGTACTTACTGTCCTTTGGCAGGACAATAACCTAGTCCAGCTTTTAACAACAGCTCATAGTTGTCAGGAGAATGATCAGAAGAATTGATACCGATATTGGCCAAGAGAGACAGCTTGCAATCAAACAGCTGTTCAAGGTGTTTGGAGGTTACAGGCACATAGAAACCTGTCAGTTCCTACTTTAACTGCAGATTATAATGATAAGATAGGGGGTGTCGATATCGCTAATCAGCGTCAGGCCTATTATGCTACTCAACTACGAGTAGCTAGAAATTGGATGCCATTATTGTAACGTGTTCGCAAGGTGCTAATCACGTTATCGGTAAAGGTACGATAGTTGGCAGGTGGCCTTCTTTTCCAGAGAGGAGGCGAGAGCTGAGAACTAAAGGAGGCTTCGAGGGTGTACTGAGGAACAAAGAAGTAACCGTTCAACCAAGTATATTGAAATACTGTCTGTCGAAGTCTACCTTTTCTATCGTAGAAACAGGCGGTCTTTTAAATACACAAATCTGTTCATGTCTTAGCATGAACAAAACTAATCAAAGGTATCAAGCGATACACTTTGGTAAAACTTCTTAAGTATCAAAGCGATACTTAAAACAAAACATAAAACAAAACCAAGTATCAAACGATACTTAAAACAAACCAAGTATTAAGGCGATACTTGAAACAAAACATAAAACAAAACCAAGTATCAAACGATACTTAAAACAAACCAAGTATCAAGGCGATACTTAAAACAAAACATAAAACAAAACCAATAACCGAGTACCCGTACCGGTTACAATTATTCTTTTGGCTTCTTGATACGACTGTAATCAATGCCTACATTATAGCACATGAACTACATTCTACCCATCGAACTTATAAAAAGGATCTTTAGTAGAAGTGGCATGAGAACCTTGTCTGGGAGTTAGTCCAGGAAGGCTTCTATGAGCTAAATCCTGAACATGCCTGACGCAAAGAAACCAATCCCCATGCCTCACCTAACGGAGCCTATTGCCCAGGTAGTATTCCAACAGGAAACTCCAGAAACAGTTGACAAAAAGGATATGTATCGAAGTATTACAAATTACCAATTTGTTGAAAACAGGCTGCGAAACATGCTCTCCAACACACAGGAAAAGAACGACTCTATGTCTTTTGCCGTTACCTCTGAACTCCAAGCCCACTCCTCTCTGCTGATGCTCGTGACACTCTTCTCCACCACCCACAAGCTCCCCATATTAACAAGATACGACAATCCTCTTATCAATGTTCTCATTGCCAATTGTTTCTTTGCAAGGAGTTTTGCTTTTCACACCTTCATGATTTCTAGTTCTGTTTCTTTTTATTTTCCGGGTATTAGTACCAATTGAGAATAGTTTATTTTTGTGGTGGGTCATTAAACTTCTACTAAAATCTTAGCCCGGACACTAAAATAATGTGAAATTCGGCAACAGGGCAAGGGACGATGTCTTTGCCCGCCGTAGGTTAACTTACTCACTCACTCCTTAAATCACACTCCCGATATCATACTGGTTAGAAACCAGATTTACAAGTAAGGGTCCTGCTACCTGTATCTCAGGAATAGCACACTTCAAGTCGGGTAAAGGCCGGTGCAAATGTTTCCCTACGCGCGGGCTCCCGGAATGGGCGAGTGGTTCTAAAGTTAAATTAGTTTCCCATAGGATCCACCAACTGAGAACGGTAGCCTTGATCCGAGTAACCCGAATTGATACCCCCAGTCATCAGTTTAGTGATTCTAGTTCCCTGTTTTCCTCCTTTCTCTTCTCTTCCCCCCTTCCCATCACTGCTTCTTACCTTACTCCCCTATAACATTCGCAACCCGCGAGCAGCTTTAACGTGTGGCTTCCATGACCTTCGAGTGAACTGCGCCCCGCTGAAGCCAAAGCGTTACCCAGAGTTTTCATCATCTTAGACCTGGGGAAGAATATTATAACAAAATATTTGTCTACCAGAACTACCGGAATCCCTCCGTCCATATGCCGAGTTTCGAAGAACTTCAGTTAGAAAGTTAGAGGAATACAGTAGGTTACATGGCTTGAAGGCGGTTCTCGCCCGTGCTTGCGCCAATACGGGCGAGGGGGTTGGTAAGTAAAGAAAGGGTGGCTATGTTGCGTAGGCATCGTACCAGTGATGCTGCTAGGAAACAGGTGTAGTGGCTGGAGCAGTTGATAACTCCGAATGGACTAATACAAGGCTCAGAACAAAGCGTAGGCTGCTGTTGAAAATATGAACCCTCAACTAGGAATCAGACGGTGGGCCTGCCAAGTCCTCCACTAGCATACTCCGTTTTTTCATGATATTTTTTTGACAGCGGGTTTATGGTTGGTGACTCTGAGCACTGTGCTGTACCCTTACGAGTGGTGCTTGTTATGCTGGGTGCCTGCTGTGTGTGGTACTCGAGCATAGTACCGGTACTGTAGCGTAGAGCCCCGCACCGGTTAACCGCCAGACATGAAAACCGTCTGACGGCGTCTGTCTTGAAGATGATGGCGCTCCCAAGATTAGCTCTTCCCCCCACGAGCACACTTCCCTACGATAGTCTCCTACCCTGTAGAGCTCCACCGACTAAAAGTCATGATGATACTCGTCCCCACCCCAGAACAACCCACCAACACGAACGTACGCACAGCCCAGCACTCGCACAGCGCAAAACCACCTATACCCATTCGATTATATCTAACTTACTGTACTGGACCGACTCCAAAAACCCAATCTACGTACACCAAACGACACACAGCGAGAGACAAAAAAGGAGACACAATAACAAAAGAAAAATCTAACGACAGACAACCCCAATTCCACTCCCTCTCCCCTCTACCTCTTCCTCTCCTATTACCGCCCCCTCGGCCCAATAATCTGCCTTCTGGCTCCAAAGGCAACCCCCATCTTGCCTTGATTCGCTCCGCCAAGGTAACTTTTTTGGTTAAAATATAGATCAGCATGCCGTACTTAAATACGATGCAGCAAGAATATTAAAAAACAATAAAGAATTAAACAAAAGTGTCTTATAGGCGAAGGAAAGAAGAAATGTACTGCAAAACATGCAATGCGAAGACGCCAAACTCAATACAAATCGAGAATATCATCAGCATACCCATATTGATTCACGTCCCAAGCCACATCTTCCGTGGCCGCTATTGGAACGCGCTGTTCAACTTCCCTCTGGTTGGCCTCCCATTCCTTCTGTCTCTGGCGCTCGCGCTCTCGCTCGCGTTCTAGGAGTGACATGCTGTTGTTATGTGTTAATAGTGATTCCAACAATTGGGGTGACATGAAGGTTGAGGATGAAGGTACTGGTGCTGGTGCTGATGATGCTAAGGAGGGTTGGAGGGAAAGGAAGAAGGATGTTAACCTGGCCCATTTGTACGCTTGCTGTTTTTCAAGTTCCTCCCGCTCATAATCAGGGTCTAAGGCGTCGTCGTTGGTTTCCCAGGAGCGGCTGGGTTGCATGGGTTCTGCCGCGTAGTAAGCGTTTGATGTGCTATGGTTAACTGATGTGTTATGGTTAGCTATTGGCGCGGGGGGGAGTTTTCGAGGCGGTGGTGTCGGGAGAGCACGAGGTTGGGGGATTGGTGAGCCGACTTGCTGGTGACGGGGAGGTGTTTGTGGGGGTGGGGTGTTGTCGTTTTGCCAGGTTTGGAGGAACATTCTTTCAGACTCTTGATCTCGGTCCCGATCACCGGTCCTGTGGCTTCGGATAAAGTTGGCTTTTGAGGGGGATGGTGTTGAAGGAGGTTCGCCGGTTCGGTGTTTTCTAATGGCCATTTCTTGGGCGTCCCGACGCATTCTCTCCGTGTCTTGTCGTCTTCTCTCCTCCTTCTCTGCTTCGTAGATTCGCTCTCGCTCGCGAGCTTTTTCGAGCTCCCTTTCCAGTTGTCTGATCCGCTCACGTTCTCGCTCGCGCTCCTTCTTCTCTCTATCTAGCCTTAGTTGTGCTTCTCTATCCCTAACTCTCCTAGCCTCCTCTTCGCGGCGCTCGAATGCGAACTCTTCCCTTTTGCGTTCCAATTCCCTTTTGTTGTCCTGCTCACGCTGCCATAGCCTTCGCTTCTCCTCCTCCTCCTTCCATCTCCTCCGTTCCTGTTCGATTGCCGTCCTCTCCTCCTCCTTCCGCCATCTATCTGCTTCTTCAATAGCTCTTCGTCGTTCATCGGCAGCTTGTAACTCCCGCTTTCGCTCCTCTTGGGCTTCGGCCTCCCGCTTCTTTGCCCCCTCCTCTCGGCGTTTCTCTGCAAAGCTCATGGTAGGTGGAGGTGATGTTGCAGTCGTGCTCTTCACCGCCGGGTTATTAGTGATTTGTCGTCTAGCACCAAACGAGATCCCCTGATTTCCTTGCGAAGCTCCACCTATGTACCCATACTGAGCTATATTCCAGGCGGGCAGAGTAGCTGTTTCATCCGAGCTCTTGCTCCAGGTGCTTACAGCTGCCTTTCGCGGCGGCACGGAAGGTCTAGCCGTGCTACTGGACCCGGAATACCCGGATACAATGCTACCTCCTCCCCCACGGCCGGCAGAGCCTCCTGATACTTTTCTAGAACCCCCGGTCCATGAGCTACCCGCACCACCAGATAGCTGAGGCGAGAGCTGTGCCGTGACTTTAAGCCCACCGATGGTTGTCGGGAAGGTTCCTGGTTTCAGTTTATGGGCAATGCGGGAGTACGAGGTGATACACTGACAAACTTGAGCTGGGTCTTTTTGCTCGTAGAGGTCGACCGTGAGAAAGAGATCGTGAGGAGGGAGCGAGACAGGAGGGCGTGCAACAAAGGACAGAAAATGTGAAATATTCTCCATCTGAACGAAAGGCATTGCTGATTTCTTGAAACGAATTTGGGGAGACTCTCCCAAGAGGTTTGCAAGACTATAACAGGTTAGTGGAGCCTCCTTTTACTCGCCCCAGCAAGAAAAGAGGCAGAATGTACCGGCAGAGTATACTTCCATCTCTCAAAACCAGCATCAAATCCTCATTACCGAGATTCTCGTTGAGCGTAGCGGTGATCCAATCCTTGATCTCCTGCGAGGCCTGAGGCGTATACTTTCCAAGGCGTAAGCGGGAAAGGTCCCTGTCCAAAGACGAGACAGAAGCCATGATATTGGTGAGGGCGATGTGATAGTAGCAGCAGTATCGGTTGTAGCAACGGTAGTACCGTACCGGTAGCAGATTAGTTTTTCAATGCCGTAAATCGAGGATGATGCGGTGAGGTTGCATGTGAGGCCAGGTGAGGGGATGAGGCTGTGGAATACGGTACTCGGTAAGCAGGCTAGGTTATGATAGGATACTATACGAGTAATATATCACAGCAGGGAAGTAGGCGGCAACAGGGGTCAACCGCGCAGCTGGTGGGAAGAATAAATTTAAGCTTGTGGGGGAGTGAAGGAGAGGAAAACAAGTGGATGAAAGATACTCGAGTACTCGTACTCTGTGCATGATGGAAAATACCCTACGGAAAGGGGAAGGTACTCGTAGCTGGTATTGCAGGGTAGAGAGCCGCTTTCAACTCTGACTATTTCCCAAGCCATGAGGCTCCCTCATATTTTCACTTCAGGAATGGATCAGGACATTCCACGTAACAATTTGTTGTGGCGCTCCTGATAAAATTCGTGGCTGGTGCGAGCACAGCCAGAACAACGGCATCAAAAGACAGCACGCCACTCTAGCCACTCGGTTCGGCTCCCGGGATTCGCCGAATCAGGTAGGCTTGGTGATTGCTCTCTACGAGTACTCGAGTATGATACACGGCACGAGCACGGCAGGGTACAGTACTCGGGAATTTCACAAGTACTCGTACTATAGTCTACGCGTAAGCGGACACCTTGATCTAAGGAGCACCAGAATCACAGATTCTTGGCGCCAAGGTGTCCAGATATCTTTGAAATTCGCTAGTACTCGAGTAAACCTACACGAGTGCCAAGTTAGTCCACAGAAAAGCGAGAACACAATGAGGCGAGAAGGCCCTTATAGTCTAGTACCGGTGGAACTGTATAAGTACTCGTACTGTACTCGAGTACTTGTACCATGGCACCGTAGCGGTAAAGCTTTTCGCCATTCCCGCATCGTCCTTGTGCAACCGCTCGCAGTTACAAGTACGGTACTGTAGTCCACTCGAGTACGAGCACAGTACCGGCACTCGAATCTCAAGCTATTGCGGACACTGTGATGCGGTGCCGGAAGTATCTCACCGATAGCTTAAGGTACTCTCGGCCCTGCAGAACTTCAGGAGCACATCTCCTCATACTTGTACCTACAAATGATTTCAAGAATCACAATCATCCGCCTGGATTTCAGAGGTAAAAGTGCCGGTAATCCGAAATTCAAATCCAATCCATATTCTATTGCGCGCAGTATTCTGCGGCTGAAATCAACGCCAAAGAGCAGGGTGCAGCACTGCACGGTAGAGCGGTTGGCTTCATCCTACCGTGCGAGAATCTCCTCCAAAGGACTAATGAATGGTCCTTATGGCTAGTCTATGAGTCAGTAAAGAATTAGACTGCAGCTCGAGGGATACAATTTACTCGAGTAACCACCCCTTCCCTCACATTGTCACACACACTCTCTCTCTTCGTGTGTGTGCACGATCAGGGAGCGAGATGGCATTCAGGAGAACAAAGAAAGCACAATTCCGCTTATATAATATTGGTATCATGAAGAATTCCAAAATCCACCCCACCCCCGCTACTGGTATTTACTGTACTTGTAACTAACTCAAGCGCCCTCGAGGCGGCTACAAGTATTTGCCCCCAAGCGAATGGAAATGGGGAAAAAAGTGTTAGATTAGGAGTCACGCCAATAATGGGTTCCCCCTCCTGGGATTGAGATAGATGCTGTGTCACGTTTCCCCATAGAAGAGATGTGCTCGAGTATGAGTGGGTGGGCTGGAAACCAACACCAAACCACCAAAAAAAAAAGACAGTTAAATATACTCCCCTGAAAGGATAGGCCTGCATCGGTCTATCATACTCCTACAACAAACTCCCCCTCCCTTGAGCCCCCTGCTCCACTTGCCGCCGCAGAACAAACTACGGTACTCGTACAAGTACATATCTCACATCCCGCCCCTCCTCTCCTTCTTCCTCCTCTCCTTCCTCTTCCCCCATTTCCTTTTCTTCCCTCGTGCCACTACCCTTCTCCTATACGGTAACTTCTCTTCATCCTCTGACCTCTCGTTATCGTAAGTGCTGCCCTCCTGTTTTTGCTTTTGTTCCTTGTCGAGCAGGGATGTTTGTCAGCTACCCCTCCACTATCTTTTTATCCCTGATAACCTCGCAAATCTTCCCGATACCGGTGGGATTGGAGAGCAAAGCTTTTCTTCCTACTGACTTCAATCACATTTAGATCCACAATCAATCAGAGCAATAATGTCTGCTGGTGCGCCCCCTCCCCCCAATTACGCGGGATCTCCTCCCCCGGGAGGAAATTATTACCCTCGTAAGTTGAAGCTGAAAATTACTATTGGAGTCATTTCGCTGAATCTTGACTCCAGCTCCCCCAGAAAAATCTCCCTACGGACCTGGAGGCCAAGCCCCACAGCAGCAGCAATTCTCTCCTCCCCCCGGAGCGCCCCAACAACAATACTATCCTCCCCCTCCCCAAAATTACCCTCCGCCAGGGCATCCACCTCCACAGCAACAGTCTTTCCCCCCTCCGCCCCAGCAAGCACAACCCCCTCCCGCACAGCAACAGCAACCTTATGATTCTAATCGCGCTTCAGTGCCTCCTCAACAAACCGCTTTTGACCCCTCTCGTGCTGGTCCACCGTCGCAGCCGCAACAGGTTGCCGCTGGTACTAGTGCCGGTACTATCACGGATACCTTAGGCAGTTTCAATGGTGGAAGCTATAGAATCGACCATAGAGACTGCAATACCCTTTTGACCCTTATGCTTGCTCACGGGTGCCCAGTGACCGCCAAACCCGGCGCCATGGTAGCAATGACTCCAACGGTAACGTTGAAAGGCTCCGTCAAGTTCTCCCTGAAGAAAATACTTGCTGGAGGTGAAATGGCGCAATCAACCTACACTGGCCCTGGGGAATTATTGCTTGCGCCCGCGGCGTTGGGAGATATTGTCCCTATCCGTTTGGATGGTCAGCAGACTTGGAGTGTCGGCAAGGATGCCTTCTTGGCTTGTACCCAGGGCGTTGTTAAGGACTACAAGAGTCAGGGATTGGGCAAGGCAATGTTCTCCGGCGAGGGATTGTTCGTTTACAAGATTTCTGGACAGGGAGTTTTGTTCGTGACTAGTTTAGGTGCTATTATTCAGAAGAATGTAGGCTGTCAATTTTTATTCTGGCTAGCGGTTGCTAACGTATCCGCAGATGACCCAAGGTGAACAGTTCATTGTTGACAATGACCACTTGGTTGCCTGGAATTGCAAGTACACCATCGAACGTGTTGCCTCTGGTGGTATCATCAGCAGTATGTCGGCTGCTGAAGGCTTGGTTTGCAGATTTACCGGTATTCTCTCTTCCATTATCGTTTTTATTTTCTTTGTCTAACGCATAGTAGGCCCTGGAACAGTATTCATCCAAACTAGGAATCCAACCGCCTTCGGCGCCTGGATCGCCTCACATGTACCGGCTAACCAGTAAATCAGACTAGAATTGGGGCCTGGTTTTGGGTTTTTGGAGGGGTTGTTCTCCTCTCGAGTTCTTTGGCCAGTTGGGCGACAGGGTTTTCAGCTGGGTAGCATGGAGGTGGAAATTGTTGGGGGGGTGGGGGTTTTTTTTTTTTAAAAAAAAAAAAAAAAAAAAGTGCACTATGTACCTTCTAAGCGATGGGATTGATGGGCGGGGTGAAATCTGGGTATCATGTTACTTTGATATCTTTTCCATGATCCAGTGTGTGATAAGTTACTCTTCTAGAATTCCCCGGTGAAATGTGATGATCTACTCGAGTACCGGGTTCGATCATCTGCGGCTCATTGCTCCCACTTGCAGCATGCAGCACAGGCTAAATAGCCGAGTGACCCCTTGTGTTGCCTCGGTTGCCAGAATAACAAAGCTATTGTTCGCGAAACCAATGACTTTACGCGACTTCCCACCAACACATTAAAACCGTCCATTCCACACGTTAGCCCAAGAGGAGATCAGAGTCTCTTTAAATATCTACCCCCTGAGATGTCACATCCTCGCCGCTCAAAAAAGAACCTCATAGTTCCCCTGGCAGTCACCGCTGTTGCCGCAGTCGCCTCTCTGGGTCTGTACCTATGGCTCGGTCGACCCAATCGGCCCACAACCCCGGGTACCGATGTACGTAGCCCGCCAGCCGATGAAGAAGACGACGGTTCACCGCCCAAACCTCTCACTTTCACTCCCTCCGGCCGAAAAGCAGTCGTAGTGATTGATGGAAACCGTTCATCACCTGTTCTGCAGACACTCAAAAACCGGCTGTCGGTCCCCGGTTGGAACGTATTTGTATTAGTCCTCGGTGGCGCGGGCGTTGACGAGGATGTACGGACAGGAATTGGTGGGGGAGTTGAAGAATTTGTCCTTCGGTTCGAGAAGGTCGATGCCCTCGCGCCGATGCTCAAGCAATTGGGTCCCGAAATAGTTTTCGCGGAGGAGGAATTGGTTGCTGGCGAAGGAGGAATTATTGGGAATTTGTTGGATGGTGGGTGGGTTGGTGGGATTGTTGTCTCCCGGGAGGCTGGCGGGGAGTGGGAGACCGGGGCTCGGAGGTATGGGAAGAGGTGTAAGGTTGTTGACAAGGAGGGGCTTAGAGCTGAATGGGGAGCGAGGATCAGATAGTTTGGTGTATTAGACCGGCCTTTTGTTTTAGGATGCGTACCTTTTTGTTTGTAATTTACTGTGGGTGCGTGGGCATGTGGTGATATGGGGAGTGGGTTATGAGAATACTTCTGGGGCCGCGTGTGCTTGCCTGGAGGCATATATATCTGGAGCTCTGGAGGCAAACTTTGAAGCCTCTTTCCTCCCTTCCTAGAATCATTTACACACCTACGTTCCCCTATTCGAAACAAAATGGTTTCCCTAACTATGCATTCTCGATTCATATTTTTATTCCTCCTTCACAAAGCTATTGCTAATCAGGAATACCCGTTGTCTAAGACGAACGATCTGTCTTCTCCTACCCCGGATCTACTTCCGGGGGTCCCGGTGGCGTCGGTGGCACCTACACCTGCTGCTGTATTGGCGTCTGCGTCACAACCTGTTGAAACAGGAGATGGTAATGGAGAGTGCGTACACTATCGGAAGAACCAAGAATCCCCCTTTCCAGTTGAACCCAGCTATGCACTTATATTCAACGATGGGGTGACCGATTCGGTCCCTAACGAGGGTTCCCTTAGATCCGGGTATATAAATTTATTGCCCAGATCTAGCAAGGGAAATGCTCTTGAGATAGACACAAGGGGTGTTGTTCGTGTTAGAAAACAATTCGGTCTGTCTACTCCTGTTGACGGTGTCGTATCCGCGTATCCGGAGTCTATTGGACCTGATGATAAAGACCCAACTCGAAATGCTAGGCCTGAGGAGAAGGGAAGCTCAAAGAGGAACCGCCTACACCTGACTGGTTCTCATGGACATTTGGATCGTGTTGGACGTTATGCTACTAGCGAGACAAAGGATAGATACCCTATGCTTCATTCCAATAATCAGGTGCCTCCCCAACCTGCCCATTTTTTTTCGGGGGAAGGTGAAAGTCAAAACCGGCAATCTCCTTCGCTGACCCCCTCTTACTTGGATGAAAATGGCGTCAGGAGCCTCGCACAATTGGATGGAGAAAATATTTCAGAAGATATAACGCGGACGAGAGAAGATAGAGGTGGTCATAGTAGTGGCGCTAATTCAGGGAGCGAGTATCCACTTTTTATGGGCGACGATATCTTTGACACCGCCCCTAAGGGCTCTAATAAGCCAGTTACTACAAGGTCAGAATCTGGAATCAATGAGGGGCACAACCAAAAGGAGTGGTCCGATGAAAGTCACTTTAAGTGCTTATATCCAACCTTTATGGCTAACAATCAGTTCGGGCCTCCGCTTTCTGAGCACAAGTCCCTGCGGGGCAATATCCTCTCCCCGTCTGTCGATTGTGAGGTTAGGGGGGAAGAAGCTGTTCCTACTCCTGCCCCCCCGAGGACTAGCGATCCGTCACTTATGCCATTGATCCCGGGGGACGTTATCCGGGGTGTTTCATCTGCTGAATTTGCCCATGGCGAAGTTTACGAACTTCAAAGAGGAGATGATGGAGGAATGCGCTCGGTTCCTGTGAAACGGTTGGATCCTTGCCCCGGAATTCGGGAAGGACTTGGGAGGCCAACACACTTTGTTGAAATTTCTCATGACGGAAAGGTCTATGTAGTGGGTGATGTGGGTCCGGTTGGGGGTAGCGGGGGTGTGTGCATACCCCCTGTTGGCCCAATCACGATTCTAAAGGAACCCTCGCCGATATCGAGAAAGAGTCGGCCTGCAAAGCCTGTCAGTACTCTTGATAGTTTTGGGTCGGAGGCAGTTGGTTCACTAGATTCACTCAGTGTTTTCGAGACTTCTGATCACTGGAGGGCAGAATCAATTGAATCGTTCCATCCTTTTGACTTTAGAAAGGAGGGAGGGCCGCACTCCAGCGAATTGGGGAGATGTCCCAACAAGCCAGCGACGCTTGATGAAATGGGCTGGCGGTCATTGGCAAGGAGGTCCCATAGCCCAGGCGGTAGATCTAGAGTATCCCTTGATCCAAGCCCAAGTGCAATATATGCAATCGAGCTCGGACGTGATGGTGGGATGCATTCGAGGACAGTCAAGGGGAGATCCAGTAGAGGGGTTGGAAGCACCGCGGATTTCGAGCCGATACTGCCTAATTCTTCTCTGGATACGGTTAATTTTGCTGGGAAAGATGGAGGCACTCATAGGCACGGTGCCGGGGCCCGATCGAGTGATGATCGAGTTTCCATTAATTCCCCGTTAATGGAGGATCGGGACGGAAAGGTATACCACAAAACCATTCAAGCCCGCTTGGGAAATGAGGTGAGTGTTTTCAGTTTACCTGGGCCGGTGCAACCTACTGGAAGCCGGCTGATTTCGATGAATGAAATTGGTCAATTGTCGTCCAAGGATCTCGAGAATGGGGGGCGCAACTGCCTACTGAAGAAGGGTGGCCAAACAGCTTCTGGCTCTTCCTTAGGTCCCGCCGGTTGCACCATACAAGAGGGAATAGATGGGAAGCCACACCTAAGAAACTTGAATAGGAGGTCGGTTGATGGCGCTGATTATATAATGCCTTCTGTCCGGGGAGAACCTATTCAACGAGTCCCTGATTTAGCTCAAGCCGTGGATGGAGATGGGGAGGTTTCAGTGGGTACTGGTGGAGGGGCTGGAATGAGCGACGCGACGAATATGACTCTTCTGCTCCATTCTATGACTCTTGATAAACTTGCTGTTATGCTTCCACTTGTGATGTTCGGAACGCTTCTCCTTGTGTTGGTTGTTTTTGGGATGACGTTTTGCTGTCTTCGTCAGGCGGAGGAAACATATTATATAAATATCAGGGCGGTTGAGAATAGGAGACGCAGGAACCGAAACTTGCGAAGGAGGCGGAAGAATGGTACTTCGATTGGAGCGGCAGAGGAAGGTGATATCACGGTACGGCCTGGGGCACCTTCGGGCCAGCCTGAGGTTGGAAACACTAATCGTGGCTGGTTTCTTCAGCGCTGGTATAATTCACTCAGAGGTGACGCTACACCTAAAATAGCATCCTTTTCTGGCGCGGAGGTGACTTCCCATCTAAGCCCGAAATCAAATTTGAGGCGGGCTGGTGGAGGGCTGGATGGTGGTCAAGATACTAGAGATCCACCTTATATCCTTGGCGCTGTTTCAGATAGGCTACAGCAAACTCGAGGCCCTCAATCTCTCTCGACTATCTGGAGCAATGGCGGGCGAGGGAGCTCGGCTATCGGGAAAGTTGTTTTAGCTACAGGGGGAAACCGGAGCGAGGGCCCGGGCCTAAACACCGCTATGGTGAGCCGAAGAATGCATGGCGCAAAAGGAGATACTAGCACAGAATTTCGTCAGGAGTCTATCAGCACAACGGAAGGCGCGGGGTTATCAGGAAATCCGAGTAGCGATTTAACGCTGACGTTCTCTCCAGGTGAATTGGCACATAAACTGTCAGAGGTGTTCGTATATTAACATGGTAATCTAGTGGAAGGTCTTACGGACACTTCTTGCGCAGATGTGCAAGAGGCGTTGAGATCGGAAGGCACATTTCGGATAGCCATTGGCGGGGACCCGAGTATCCAGGACAATCTTATAGAACCTAAGGAATTTGACTGGATCAGGCCTGACCTGTATCTCTCTGGCCCAGGTGCTGAGGATACTTCTGAATCTAGCGAACCAGGGAAAGATAGCTGGACTGGGGGTAATGGGGTTATCCTGCGGAGGCGTGAAGGCGATACTAGGGGAAGGGAGGGTGAAGCGGGGCCCTCTGGAACTGTTGAGGGTGAAGGTGAGATAATCGTGCTAATTGTGTTGTGCTATCACACAACTGATAAAGCTAATAAAGGAATGAAATAGAAAAGCTAGGACTGCATCAGTAATTGCGGAAAATTTTATACTGACTTCTGATGGAGATGGATTGGGAAGTTTTGTTAAGTAGGTATTGAGGAAACCTGATGGATTGATTAATTACCGGCTGTGATGTCTATTCTGGAGGGCGGCTTAGATGCAGTATGCGATTCAGCTCATGTACTGTGGTTATTTAAGCGGTGATGGGCCTTTGAGTTCATTACAGAGCGGGCTGGATCTTAGACTGATGGGTATGATACTATACTCTGGGTTCATGATATATCACTCGGCTAGCCAACATGAGTGGATGGAGAGAGCTGGATGGTGAAATGGTAGGGGCAGGTTGATCGGGATGAGAATGAAAGGAGCTCAGTGATTGGGCATATATAGATTCCAAAGATTCCACGTAAAGTCTCTTACTCCACATCGCGCAGTGCCTGCCTTCAATCCTGAAACAGGTTTGATATATCCACCTTACGCCATGTAACCGCCAAGCAATTGGCATCCAACCGCGACCGCCTATTGGGCTACAACCAAGGAACAAGGGGCAGCCCAAGAGCGTCTGGGAGTAGTGAAAATTACAACATAGCCGGGGCAACTTATGTACAAACTTAACACTCAACAGCCATGACTTCTGGTGTCTCGAGAAATTCTGACCCGAGGGTCTCCAGCACGAAATTCGACAATACCCCCCCCCAGGGGTAACAATGAGGCTGCAGTTTGTCATGTTACCACTGCGCCCGGATAGTGGTAGTGATTCGCAGTATGCTGGTTTGGCTCTCTCCATATTGTGATCTATGGGATTGTGTTGGTGTTGTAGTCAGCTGCGGTGTTATTTAATTATCCACTGTGGGACAAGTAGGCGGCCTGCGGGTACATTACGACCGGTTTCGCGGACAGCTGCCACGGCGCAGCCAGTAGGCCTCTGTTCCTTATTCACAGACCCTCTGTATATCTCATAGCAATCGCACAGGAAGAAGGTCCCCCTCCTAAATCCCCCTTTATCAGAGAAGTCTCCCACAGTATCATACCGCGCTGCTCATAGGCAAGCACGACATGATCGTCAGATGGCTGGTTTAATCATATATCCCTTTCTCCCTTCTGCCCTAGTCCAAACCACCCCGGGTGAGAACGGGGGGGGCGGTGGGGCTGTTGGCGATGAGGGGGGAGGGAGGGGGGGATGCAGGGCGGTCGGGAGAGGAGAGGAGGGGATGAGTGATGGTTTGTAATTATGCCCTCGCCAATACTTCTGGGGCACTGGGTGAGCTGGATTAGAGTCTCGATGTTGAAAACCCGTGAACATGCTTTCGATTCAAGAAATAAAATTTGGGCCTTTATTTGTGGCCTCAAATGAACTGCATGCTTGGGCGCATTCCACAAAGTCTAGGGAGGTAACCCCGGGATGGGAAAAACCGTGTCCCGAAACAGCTATAGGACTACGAGGTATTAGCTGAGAAGAGAGAGGTGAGATGAGTTCAGGTTAAGTTGGCCTAAAAAATTGGAATGCACATTCCGGCTGACTGATTGAAAAATGAAGCGGTGTGATATGGTGAGAGGTGTTGAAATTGATCGAGATTTACACCTAGCTTATACAATCAGCACGTCAGCACAGCCATGAATTCTTCCTTCCCCCACATTCTCCTTCTGCTCGCCCGACATCTCCTTCTCCTTCTTCTCCATCCTCCTCCTCAAGCTCCTCACCGGAAGAAGATTTAAGCAAGTATGGATATCTCTTAAGAATTGAGGTAGGGTACTACATATACTTTAAGTCCCTGCTGGGAATTGGAGCATCCACGGACCAGATCTCTGTGATCGGCTAGAGGTTGCAGTCACATTGCATTGGCCATGGGATGTCAGCGCCAGTGCTGGGGAGTTCAAGAGACGAAGCGGTGGTGGTGGAAGTGGAGGCTAAGGTTGCAGTCGCCCCGGTATAGTAAGGGTAGGCGCGGCAGGCGGGGGAGTGTGAAGAGCAGAGGAAGTGGAGGTATAGAGGAGAGAAGACATGTTGGAAGGCGCTAGTCGACTCGGACACTAGATAGACCCTTAGGTGGGAAAAAGGAACGGAGAGGGGTGGATAGGGGGATATCCTGGGGTGGAGCCTGAGCAGCAACCAGTGTGAGAACTCTATTATTCTTTTTCACGGTGGTGATTCAGCGCCCAAGTGTTCGCTCGATGTGTGGTCTTGGGTGATTTGAGGTATGAACTCTAGAGTAGGATTCAGGGTTCATAATTCCCTTGCTTTGGCCAGACCTGAAGTGGTATGATATCATAGATTATCAATGGCCATAGTATGTATGATAATGATAGCACATCTTTCCCACTGGACCGAACACTGCTAATGGGTTTCAGGCGAGTGATAATTTATGGTCCCGCTGAGGACCCGAAACGAAAATGCTATGATAGTTGGGCCCTGTTCGTCCTCACTCACAATTGGCCAGGGGCTTGCTCGGTATTCTACAAATACTATGATATTATAGTATTATTATTTTTTACAACGCCTCGGCGGTTTAAGATAGGAGGAGTGAACATGTGTAGTATTGTCCCTAATGTCAGAGCGATGCTTAGATTCTTAAGTGCGGTATTTCTTATTTTTCCTTTTACTTCATGCTATTACCTAGTTCGCAGGAAATAAGCATATCTCTAGCTTCATTCCCTCTTTCTCGAATGGTACAAGTACAGAATAGTAGTCACGTAAGGTCGCCCCGGGGTGGGGTGGGGGGATACAGTGTTGTAATTCCGGCACCGTCGAACAATTTTACCTCCCAAAATACCATATTACGATATCTCTATTTTAGCCTATGAGCCATTTTCAGGAAATGCCGTGGTATTTCTAGAACGCTACATGCCGAACAGGGTGTTAATCATTGTGCGTGGACAAAATTAACCGCGATTCAACAGAGGAAAATCTTCGGAGATGACAACCACACTCACTCACTAATCTACTATCATAAAAACTAAAAAAAAATAAAAGATGTAAATACATAGTAGAAATTAATATTTGGTATACCATCCATCAGCCTTAATAATTGCCTCTATTCTATCCACCCTTGATCCAGCTAAAGTATCAAAAACCTTTGGGTCAAGAAGTTCCCAACAATGAGTGATGGCCTCTACTATTGCCTTCTTGACCACATTGACATCACCCTTCATAAGATATAGCTCAGGGTAGTGTGAAGCTTACCTTTCACCAGAGACCAAATATTTTTAATTGGATTGAGATCTGGTGAATAGGCAGGAATTTCCATCAGTGTAATTCCCTGCCCTCTGAGCCATCTCCTAAAAGGCAAGTGAGTCTTAGCATTGTCAATGATAAAAAATACCTCTTCTTCTCTAGCCTTTTCTCTGATATTCTCCCATATACCTAGAAAGTCATAATGATCATAAACATCAATAATTGACTTCCCAGTAACTCCACCCCTAGCAGAAGAAGGATCAGGAAAAACAGGTAAAAAAAGACCATGAGTTTGACTATAAAAACAACCAGTCATCATCTGGCTAATCCCTCTCTCCCCTCTCCTAGCCTTAGGTTCAACACAATCCTTATTCCATTTCTCATATGGGTATCTGAAAACCCATTTTCTCCTCTTTCCTCCTTCCCTTTCTACAGCTACCTCATCCCCCCACATTGCCTTCCTTCTCCACATCTCCTTTGTCCAATGCCTATGAGCTAATGCCTATTCCAACCTCTCTTGAGCTAGATCCTCATCCAAATGAACTCTCTCTTGTGCCATCCACTTTCTAAGATGCTTTTTTTCAAGTCTTCTCCTTACTGTCCTACTAGAAACATTGGGAGTAACTTGCTCAGCAATGTCAGAATAGGTAGTATGGCAATTTTTAAGAGCTTCCTCCACCGTAGCATCATCCTGTGACTTGGTAGTTTTAAGATATCTCCCTCTACCCTTATTCTCCTTGCTCTCTTGATGTCCCTTTGCAATTGTGTTTCTGACAGTAGTGTAGGGGATATTAAGGTAGTGGGAAATTTACTAATATCTCATCTGAGGCTAGTGTAACCCGAGAATCCTCCCCCTGGTAAACTCAGAGAGATGTGTGGAGGGAATAGGTTTTTTGGCATGACTGCGAAGAATAGGAGGCATAGTTTATTGAAAAAAAGAATTGAGCAGAATGGTTTCTTCTTGGTTGACTTAGAGCCATTTTTTTTAGGTACTGTTGAGAGTGCGAGGTGATGAAGAGGGGTGGGTTGCCATAGATTGTTGAATCGCAGCTAATTTTGTCAACGCACAATCACCAAAATTTTATTGAAGCAAAAAGAAGAAAAAAAAGGAAAAAAATACAATCGCCCCATAATCGAGCTACCGTCTACCCAGCATATCAGATGAGCTCGAAGGGGTCGCCTAGAAGAAAAAAACCACCCTACTCCCACTTAGAAACTAGTTCTTCCGCCACCACTTTTACCTCTTCCACCTTTACACCCTCCCTACCGCTCAAAAACACCCAAATCTTCCTTACGACCAACTCCCACACGTCTCTAAGGTGGGAATACTTCCTCTCCAAGAATACCGCAATGAGCAATGCCACCCAAGCGACTTTGTCCCCGCCACACTGCTCGGGGATTGGACTCATCCGGGAACCTAGGAGCTCAACAACGTATTCATCCGCAACATGGAAGCTTCCGTCGAATTTCTGGGCAGCTATAAGCCTGTGGATATTGGTTAGAGGACCGGCAGATGACGCCACCATATTTTTGGACGTGAACGCGCCGAACTCAAAACCGTTGAGGTTAGGGATGGCTGAGGAGCCATGTCTAGTGGGTGGGGTGATAGGTTGTGAGGACTCTGCCAATTTAGGAGCGGAAGCACCTGTAACAGCGGCGCTTTGATTGGAGGAGAGGAGGCTGGATGGGGAACGTGGCCTAGGGAGTGGGGGGGGAGGCGGTGGGGTAATTGCATGACAGGATCTCGTAATCGTTAGGGGCGTATTGTAACTGTTATGAATAGTGGTTGCTCCTCCGTACGATGTTGGAACTGTCCCATGATAGCCAGTGCCGCTGCTCCTCCTTGGAGAGTCTAGGGTAGGCTGTAGGGTTGGTCTGTCGTGCGGCGGACTCCAATCGGAATGCAGAATGGGGCGGTTCCACACGGGGTGTGTTGGATCGGGCGTATCCCTCGGCTCCAGAAGGCAATTCATAGTGTCAACACCATTATTCGCCTCCTGAGCCCCTGCCACAACACCCCACAGAGCCTTAGAACCTATCGCAGTTGGGAGCGAATGTGTAGAATCTGGCCTTGACGGGGGTATGCGATCGGGTCTACAGGGTGTGGATGTGTCAAGATCCGCACTGGTTTCAGGTGATCTACTGGAACCGGAAGCCGAAGATCTGCCCTCCGACAATTCCGAGGGCCCTCTCTCGAGTGATGCCGGGGTCGGGATAGGTGCCACGTTTAGAACCTCCTCTTCGATACCCACAAAGCTAGTCCATTTACTCACTAGTGACCACCTCATACCAACCTCTTCGCCTTCTCTCTGGATGTACTCCTGAACTCCGGTTGCATCTCCTGCTGTAACGCAGTACTTTTCAGAATGAAGCCAACTTCTCCCCTCCTCCAGATCACGTAATAGCATCCTGGCAGCGAGTTGGTGCACAGTCTTCCCCGGCTGCTCGATGCGAGTGATCGGAATTGAAAGTGAGAGTTTATCACCCGCAATTGTGGTCGCGCTCAAAGTCACGGACTTTGCATACTTCAATTGCCTGGTGGTAGGGGGGATGAGGAGGTATACTACGGATCTTTCATATGGGAAAAGGGGAGGGATTTCGAAAGGAGCTTGGAGAACCTCCGGGCCTTGCAATTTCTTCAAGTGGGTGAATCTGTTTCCACTGCCCCCGCCATCGCGCAAAGTTGAAGCTAGGTTCACATCTGTAGAAGGTGGTGGTGTGGGAGAACGTCGGCGCGGTGCGGCCGTAGGGTCAAATAGGTTTATCCTCCTCGATTGCCCCTGCGGGGGCCTGACCTGCACCAGAGCTGTATGGGCGGGTGTCACCTGCTCTCTCGGACAGACTCCCTCTTCCTCATCCTCATTTTGCGAATCCTCTTCGTCCCCTTCCTCGTGCAAAACGTGTAACTTATACTCCTCAACATGATCCGTCAAAGCGCTGTTAAGCATCCTCACCACTTTCGCCTCTAGGCCATTTTCCAATCTGCCACCGCTTGTATCACCGCTGGACACAATCTGAGAATATCCTCCCCCAGCTGTTGCAATTACCTGTACGAGTGCATGCGATACCCTTTCTCCCACGCCTATGCTGAAAAGCCGAACGGCCCCACCACTTTGCTTGCGCATTTGCTGGATATATTCGAGTAGCTCCGGTAACCTCCAGATAGCCCCATCTGTGAGAACCATAATTTCGGTACGGGTTCCTGGTTCCGAGTGCCTCCGGGAACATGCTTGCACCAAGGGAGGTAATAGTTCTGTTCCACCATAATTCGCATGAAAGGTCTCGATATGGTCGGATGCGATTCTCAAGGTTCCTTCGGTATAAGCTCTAGAGCGCTCCCAGAGAAAGGTGTATTGACTACCGAAGGATATAATGTTGAAAAAGCAGCCTAAAGGAAGAGACTTGAGGAATATGCGGAGGGCCGACTTTACATGCCCGATAGTATCTCTCATAGAGCCGGATCGATCAACTAGAAAGATTATTTCAGTCTTTTCCGGTGTCTCTGTCCTCGGTAACTCGAAACGCGGCACAAGCGTTACTTTTAAAGCTTGGTGGCCAGAGATAGTTGGATGGGTTTCTAGTAGTGCCTGGGGAGTAGATATGAAGTGCGGAGTAATAGTAGTGATCAACAGCACGAAATCTTCCAAAAGCTCAGCAGGCGTCTGAGATAGCGTGACCAGGGCCTTCTTGGGATCGTGCTCTCGATCATTCACTATTTCTTTCTCCTTTCCGAGTTTCCCAAGCTGGACAGCGGTTAGATGCGAAGGGCTCTGAACAGACTTTATCGCTTCGCCCATTGCAACCTCAATCTCCATTCGAAGACACTTGTCCACCGAAACCTCGGGACAGTTCTGGCCAAACGCACCTGGCGGTGGCGGTCCGTACCTTGGCGCAATCGACATCGGAACCGTAAACCTAATACCATCGACCTCCGCATCATGCGGCAGCTCTAAAATATACCCAATCTCAACTTTAACCTTCACGCCAGCGGGTATATTCCCAATGCTGGTCGTGAAAACATCTGGAGTATTATACTCCAACAGCCCTGCCGTCTGCCCGCTGCTAGCTGCGCTCTCATACATCTGCTTCGCAACTTCCTTCGGCTTGACGATGCCAGTGATAATTTTACTTTCACCGATTCCGCAAACGAAAGAAACGACGGAACAATTCGCGTATAGCGGGAATGTGTAGGTTGCTTTGGAGATCTGTCGGTTCCCGGGGTGGTGGAAGGTCTGTGTTAACGTTGTGCGGGCGGTTGTCGTGTAGATTTGACATTGGTACGAGACCTGCACAAGCGGGAGGAAGACTTGCTGCCGCACTGGCGGTGGTGGATAATTGGCAGGTGGTTGACGGCCATTTAAAACGGGTGCCGCCTCTAAATTTCTCACATTAATAGCACCCACAAACGGAGGTTGGCCTGGACTTAAATAGTTATAGCAGGGGTCGTTAGGTGGGGGAAGATCGTCTTCGGGAAAGAAGTAAATGCCGGAAGACGGAAGTGCCATATTGTTTTCTCGGAGCTCGTGTTTTTCTGGACGGTGACGGAATATTCTCCAGCGTTGGGTGTTGGGGAATCTCAGGAGCCTTGCTCCTTTATAATACTTGGTTAGATATTGAGCACCAAAGATTGTGTGTTGCTTGTGGCTTCATGCAAGGCTTGTCGAAGTTGCACAATAAAGCACATCTCAACCCAAAGGAAGCAGGTTTAGCCATCTGCTGTATCCGCCTAAAAGAGGGGAAAGTAATATCGCAGTAAAAATGTTACTCATACCGTACCAGGACCTGTGCGCCGGAAAAACGTGCGGACCAGAACAGATATGGAAAGTTTACCTTGGTAGTGTGGAGATGTTCGGTGGTTCCTGTGATGGTGCAAAGAGATGATGATTTCAACGGTTCGGTATTTGCGATTTTGGTACCGTAGGAAATTTGAAATGCGTAGAAGCAGTGTCGGTATTCTTGCAAGATCCACAGCGGCGTACTATACAAGCTGTACTGTACCAGAGCGTGTGAAGACCTCGCGCGTGCAGCTGCCCCCAACTGTAGCATGGAACAAGGCTGGAACAAAGTGATGATAATTTTGATGCAGTGCCTCTCTTAATAGCTTTGACTCGGCTTACTCTGAGCAAAAAAGGAAAAAAGGGTGCAAGACAAAAGAGTCATCATACTAAGTAAGCTCTGGGCAAACAACCCCTGCCCGAGTAGTAAAAGCTCTCGCTGTCATGGAAGTGGAAACGGCCGAACCACAATCTATCAAGCGCCGTAAAGGAAAGATTTCACTCCTGAGTGTACGACCGCTTCTTCCCCTGCCTTCTTAAGTCGCTTTAAGATGGCGCGATCTAACGGTTGCAATCCAAATTATCATCAAGTCAGGAGGTCTTTGGCAAAACCATGATTTTAACCGTGATTTGGGAAGAAGCTCGGTTTTTGGTGTTTAAAAATGTGATTTCGAATCGCATTTGCCAAAAGGACCGTTAGCGATGTGCGATACAATTACTAGTACTATGGTATGGTAATGTGTTATGTCGTTGGGATTCCCCCTCTGGGATGGGGTAAGGAAATCACTGCACACCGCCTTACAACCAGAGGCAATTATCACGCTTGTGCTCGTACTGTACTGCACAACTTCCTAGAGCATCGCTCTTATATCGAGTACTGTATGATACTGTACCGGTACTGTACTTGAGGTACGAAGAGCTCTGAAAATCCAATCGCACACTAAGACGTCTAGAATTTCCCAATACAACTGACCTTACTAGGAGAGGAAACTACTGCGCCCTAGCATGGGATTCGAATATTCCAAATCTTGCAGTAGATTTGAACAAAACCTACTCAACTTCAGACAACGGTACCGCAATGAATTCAGCTCAAAAAAAAAAACCACAATATTTGCTGCACGACCAGGAATACCTTCTACTCTTCTAGAACCCCTTCATGCCTTCACGCCTCCTGTCGGACGCCAATTGAGATTTCCGGGTTTCTATCATACTCTTGCGATGCGTTTCACTTGAAATAAGACAAAGGCAAATGTGGAACGTCCAGTTGAGTCAAGATAGGGCAAAAGTCTGCCACGGCCGTAGAGAGTAAAGAAGAGGGGATTCATTCCGAATTCACATCGGATCGCCGCGAGAACTCATAGCCGTACGTAAACCCTTCCGAGCAGCGCAGTATCTCGCCAGCTCCACAAGTACCCACCCACTTCCGGTACGCCATGGGCTCCCTCACAACCAGAAACGCGGAAACACCAAAGTGAGGCTAAGAAACTATCATACGATATGCGGAAATAAAGGTCTTCGGAAAGGTAGGAGAAAACCGTCAAGTATCCAAGCCGTTCCCCTCAACAACCCACGAACGTTGTCCAGGTGTGTAAAAGAAGTCCTTCAAAATGCGGTACTGATGGCTCGAGCGACGAAATGTGAACAAAAGAGGAGACATCTGAATATGGGTGTTGTTAAGGGAAAAAGAGTACAATCGCTTTTTAGGTGTTTTGAGTTATTAGTTTGCACGGCAACCAAAGCCTTCTTGAGAAAAAGGGGAAAACATATTTTGACAAATAAATTGATACAATTCAACAACCAATAAATTAAGCAGTATAAAAATGAAGAATAAAAAATATTTATTATTGTTTTTATAATTCTACATAAAATATTTTGAATTATCCTTGGATCAATAGATTTTAATTGAGAATTGATGATTAATATATATTAAAGGAAAGTTATAACTGCTGGGTAAGCAGAATTAATAATATTATTAACTTTGATTTATCGCTTTACACTTGTTTTTCAATCCAGGAGGATGGCCACTCCCCCTCTTTGCTGGAGGTGTAATTTCCACTTCCTGTACCTTGCTATTTTCTCCTTGATTGCAATCATTACTTACTCCTTTTTTTACCTTCTTTGCATTTCTTGCTCTCGTATTTTTCTTCTCATGAACACTTAAATTAGTGATTCAGCAGGTTTAGAGTAGTACCAGGTATTTTGATATTGTAGAGGAACATAAGAGGAATACTTGCTTCAGAGATCATGCCTCTTCTCAGGATTCAAGCCA